TCCTTTGCCCTTCAGGACTGCCTCCCAAAGGATTCTGTCAACCAGGATCCTCAACAGGAACATAAGTCTGCCCTCTGGAAGTCCAAGGCGGCAGTTCTGCTGACCCCCTCCTTACTTCTCTGAGAATCAAAAACTATCGTTTTGTGATCGCTATGCCCAAGACAGCCTCCAACCATCACATCACCCACAAGCCCGTCTCTGTTCAAACCACAGGTCCAGTGGGGCGCCTTCCCTAGTTGGCTCACTCACCAGCTGTGTCAGGAAGTTACCTTCCACACACTCCAGGAACCTCCGAGACTGTTTCCTCTCTGCTGTATTGTATTTCCAGCAGACAACTGGTAAGTTGAAGTCCCCCATGAGAACAAGGGCTAGTGATTGTGAGACTTCCCCCAGCTGCTTATAGAATGTTTCGTCTGCCTCTTCATCCTGGTTGGACAGTCTACAACAGACTCCCACCATGACACTTGCCTTGTTGGCCTTCCCCCCGATTCTTACCCATAAACACTCAACTCTATTGTCACCATCATCAAGCTCTAGACATTCAAAACACTACCTAATGTACTGGGCTACCCCACCGCCTCTCCTTCCTTGCCTGGTCTCTCCCCTGTACAGAAGGAGATTCAGCTAATCCTAGCCCCCCGATTCTTACCCATAAACACTCAACTCTATTGTCACCATCATCAAGCTCTAGACATTCAAAACACTACCTAATGTACTGGGCTACCCCACCGCCTCTCCTTCCTTGCCTGGTCTCTCCCCTGTACAGAAGGAGATTCAGCTAATCCTAGCTCCGAGGGACTCCCCCTGCCCAAGGGCAGGTTTGAATCCCCAACAATGTTGAAAATGACCTTTCAGGCCATTTCTGCTGGACTTTAGGACTGTACTGACCCTTCTTCCACATAGCTGGGCAGAATACTTAGTGCCTAAGGTTGGTCCAGATCCAGCTGGAAAGAAGAAAAAACTCAGAGCCCAAATATTTTGTGTTGAATGAAATTAACTGATGTGCAAAACTGCAGAGTCTCTAATAAGGTAAGATGCAGGGCAGGGCTAGGACTTGTACTGATGATTTGTCATTCAAGTACTTTAAGTGTATCATTCATCTTGGAGCAACAGTATCGATGATTAATTGATTTGTTGTCATAAAAAGAAAGGCAGGGTCAGCTTTTCATGTGAATTCATGCATTTTCTACTAGGAACAAGGAGTTGATCTCACATTGTTAGCGTTGCTGATACAAGGACTGAGGCAGTGGCTTTCATATCTTAATTTTGATAGAAAAATCCCTGCAGCAGATTACAACTATAACAGACTGGTGTCTGATTTCAACACCACTAGAATAACAGCATGGATTTCAATAGGTTTACATGTCATGACTGAAATCAAGACTCAGCAACTGTTTTAGCTAGAAAATCTAAAGGAGACATTGCAAACAGTCAACAGAGCTAAGCAGTCAAATACCTCTTGTTGCTTGAATATCAGTGCATCAATGTAGCTCCTCACGCTGTTCTCATTGATATCCTCCCTGCTTGCCTTCATGTATTGCCTTAAAATGACGCGCACATCTTCTATTTTCCCAAGCATAATCTTGTGGGTTTTGAAAAGAAACCCAAGAAACGGGTAGAAATTGAAATACTAATGAGGAATTAAAAAAGAGAAGCATTAAGTCTGCAGAAATATCAGCATGCTGAAACAGCTTTTTCCTAAGGCATGACATATCGGTTGAGTTTTGTCTTGTAGTAGCAGTATCTCAGCATCCCAGGGACTTCCTGGGCAGATTTTCATAAGGGAGGGCTTTGCAACCTTTGAGCCTTTATTTAGTACTACCTAATTTTAAGCACTTATGCTGTTCTGTGGGAACAGATCCTCTACCAGTAACAGCCTGGTCAGCCTCTCAACAGAGTTGGGGCTCCAGTGTGCTAGGCCACCAGTCAGTTTAGATCAGCATGAGACTGGTTATTTTTTCCAACATCAGTTATGAAGGGCAGGGTATGATAGTTTGAAGATAAGCAGAGTTTTCCTAGTACTCTCCAAGGAAGCATTTTTAATGCAGTCTGTGAAATCTCACTCACCTGGACATCAACACTGAATGTGCCTTTTTAGAAAATGCAGCAAAGGCAAAGAAAGCCTAGGTGGTGCAATTATGTTGAAGAAGCCAAAAAAATATCTGTGGAGCTAAAATAACCATAGTTCAGTTCTCATTTTAGCTCCATACAGATGTGCAGGATGGTTCAAAAGGAGAGTAGCAAAGGGGAATCTGGCTGCACGCTTGAAGTGACCAAGGTGGTATGACAGGAGAACTGTCACATTTTAGGTGTAATGGCTGGTTCTGAATATTTGGAAACTGCTGAACTAAATTCTATGGTTTGTGTGGCTCACAAATGTAATGTGCCAGTGTAAAAAAATATTAATCTGTGGGACAGATAACTTACACTCAAATACGGAGATCCCAGAAGAATCATAACTTCATCTATGAGTCTTAAGAGAGTGAGAAATGTTGGGTCCTTATAGTCAAACCTGTCCCCAAACAGCATGACAAAGGTGATGTTGATTGGAGCACAGTTGAAGGACGTCAGGCTAAAAGGTTCCCCTGCAACGGGAGGAGGATGGAAATGTTAGTGAGATGTTGCAGCAGCAGTGATGCTTATGAGGCTGTACAGCACCGTGATCGTCTCCAGCTCACCTTTGAAGGATTTGATCATCTCGATAAGGAAGTGAAGCTCATCGAAAATTCTCCCTTCTATAATTTTTTTCCCCATGCCAAGGTTGCGCATGCTGGATACGGTGAACCTCCGAGTTGTTCTCCACAGCTCCCCGATAGAGAAGAACAAACCTGGGGAGGTGGTGAGACATCACCGCTGGGCTCATGCTCGGAGGAGCCCCACCGCACGAAACAAAATAGGGGACTGGATGAAGAGGGATCTCCATGGGTGTTTCTGCTGCCCAGTTTCCCATGGATTTGGGGACTAAGGGTCTCTCATTTCTGTGTGCCCCATCCCTGTATCCTCTCAGCTCCATTCTCCCAGTCTCACTGAGCCTGTAGTTTGGGAAAAACAAGCTCCCACCCAACCCAGTCTTGCCCCAGCCCTCTCCTGAGTGCAAGAGAAGCAGGTATGGCTTTCAGACCAGTACTGGTTGGCTGTAGAGCTGGGGCCAGATGTTGGTCTAAGTCAATCATGCAACCTTTCTGATCCTGTTTGGTTGCAAGTCTAGGGCCTCAAGCAACAACCTTGTATCTTTGAAGCTTCTCCCTTTGTCCTATTCCAGTCATAAAGATATTTTATCTATGTGAGATGGGGTAATTCAGTCTCCTCAACCCTGGCCAGTGCTGAACTGTTTTATGGAGATTCCCAGCAGCACTGTATTTTCAGCAGTGGCAAAAATACTATCATTTTGTAGAGGTCACTGAGCTCATGCCTTGATGATCACTAACACCACCACCACGGGTATTTCATCCCGTCAGTGTGTTGGAAATAGCGAAAGAAAAAATTGTGTCAATAATCCAAAGACTATCTCAGATTGTGTCAGTTGAAAAACTGGATTCCAGCACTTCACATCTTCATCTTGGCTGCAAGGTTTTTAAATGTGTTTGCTTTTTCTAGAATAAACACTATTTTAGAGCCGTGTAGTTTTAATTTGGAAAGCAAAACTTCTTTCTCTAAAAATGTCAAAGCAAATTTCTAAACTTTATTTTTAATTTTTCTTTAATTCAGGCACTTTCATCTGGATAATTAATTTTCTGCAAACATCTTCGGAGTCAACAAATTGGCATTTTCTGAAGAAAAAAATGTTTCATTGGAAAATTTGTGACCATTGTTACTTAACAGCCCCTGTGAATTTACAGCTTTGGGTCACCTCTAAGTGGCTCAGACTTGGGCTGAGAAGGTAAGTGTGAAAGGACTTATAGTGCAATACTGACAGTCTCCCACAGGGATGTTTTACATGTAAATTAGCTCTGAAAAATGCTTTTCTCCCCATCGATTCCTTTTCTTTATGTAGCGATAAATTAATCTATTGATATTATGGCTGGGTAATTTAATTTCTAATTGTAATCCCAACTTCAGCCTGTGACCAGCATATAAAGCTGCCGTTTGGATGCTCAAAGCTAAAGCCTCAGCTGAAGCAGAGGATGGAAAAACAAGGCAAAAAAGTCCTCTGAAATACTCAGTTGCCCTGGAAAAACCATGAGGTTGTTTGTGGGGGCAAATTTCCAGCCTCAGCCTATTGCTTCTGCCTGAACCTCTTTCACACGGTCCACCCAAGAGCTTTTGTGGGGAGGCAAGGCACGGGGGACTGATGATGTCCAAAATTGTGGCACCTGGCAGTAGGAGAAAGGGAAAAACCCTACAGCTCCAAACAGCCAAACCAGTTAGTCCAAAGTCCCCTGAAACCGTGGGGAAGGTTTGTAAATGTGGTGGTGGAGAGCCGCTCTCATTGACGTCTTACAGAAATTAACCCCAGAATTACCACGATGCCTTTAAAAATCCCACTCCTCACCCTCAAACGTTTAGGATATGGATCGGCCGCAAGTGCATTAGCAAAAATGACAGTAGTGAAAAGCCAGGAGGCATTGCATGAAAGCGAGGAAAGCCAAATATTTTCTGTCAGCTTGGCTTCAGAAGGGTCCAAGGGGGATGTTTAAAAGCCGGGCTCCGGGGAAGCACAGTTAGGCTGGCACTAAGCGACGATGTTGTCCCACCCGCCCGCCCCCGCTCATTTCTCTAGTACCGTTTCCATTCTGAATTTGGTCAAATATTGGGATGGATGGTCTGTCTACAAACTCCTCTGTGTAGTTCACAAGCGCCTCCCGCACAACTTCGTACCCGGTCAGGACCACAACTTTCTGGAACCCAAAGTGGAGGGTGAAGATGGGGCCGTATTTTTCCGCAAGCTGAAAAAGAGGCGAGCTGTGATGGTCAGGAAGAGAGGGAGTGTGCACAGGGCAAGCGCCCGTTGCTTTCTGAAAGGACATATTACGTCCTGGTGCCCTGCTGGGAACGGCTGCGGAGCCGCTACCTGCAGAACGGCATCTGTGAGCTGGAGCTCATCACGGTCAAACACGAGGCATTGCATACAGATGCCTGGCTGGCATCCGTATGGTTTTTAGGCTCCTTGCCATGAAAGAACACCCACCCCCATCAGTGCATTACTAATCTGGTTTTGCTGTTAAGGAGAAAGTAAATGAAAACAAAAAAAAAAAAAACACCTAGAGTTGAAGACCGGACCTCAAATGGCAACACAAGTTGGCAAACCGGAGAAAGACAAAACCAGAGAAGACATTTCAGTGCAAATGATGATGCTGTCGCACAGGAAAACTTTGGTACGATGCTCCTCTCGCACCAAAGCACTCCTGCATCCCTGCTACTAGATCAGAGGAGATGTTTTTCCCATGCCAGGCATTTAGTTTGCCCTGGATGACCGCAAATTACAAATCTGTGCCCCTCTGCTCGCACCTGGCTTTGGTATCTAAAGCTCAGCCGGGCACAGCAGGGAAACCCATGTCAGGAGCAGAAGGCTGCCCAAACCGCTGGCTGACCCCATGCTTGTACATAAAGTGATGCTCGTTTTGCACTGAGAAGGCTCTGGAAGTATCTTTGCCAGGACACAGAGCTTTCCCTGCCACATGCCCCAGGATAAATTCTCCGCAGCTCCCTGCCAAAGCTGTGCCGTGCCAGCAGCTTACAAAGGCAACACAGTGCCTCAGGGGGGCTGAAAATCCCTCCGGGAGCATGCAGTCCTGCTGGCATGTCCTATCTGTGTCCCCGGAGCCACTGTGCTGTGCACAGATCCCCGCTCCTCTTTGCCAAGGAAAGGGGTCTGCGCAGAGCGAAGCAGGCTGACGGGGGAATCCACGCTCCGTAAGGACCGCCGTGTGTGTGCCTGCTGCTACATGCCTGCGTTTTACAAGGGTGAGACTGTCATGCCCCCTCAGCCCCTGCCCATGTATCTCCTTGGCGCTGCACTGGGGACCGTGGGAGGCTGACTACTCCTGCCTACCTCCGCCCCGCCGCTGCGGCTGCTCCTTGCTCCCTGGCAGCTTGAAAGACAGCACTCGGGGACAGCCAAGAGTGTGGGCTGGGCTGGAGCAAGGTGATGGGAAGCCACAGTCCAAATCTGCCGCCCAAGCAAACACACGGTGTGTGTGTGCAGCCTCAGCTCCGCCAGGTCCACTGGCAGCTTTTGCAGGGGGCATCCCCCCGTGCCCTGCAAACACACCCAATCAGGGTGCCCAGCCAACAAACACTGGTGCCTGCTGCTCAATGCAATCACCATTTTTTGCTCTCTGTGGGGTGAGACGGAGGAATAACCCCTCTGGAATAATCCCAAAGTAAAGGCAAACATAGTCAATACCAAATATAGCCTAGCAGATGATGAAAGCATGCGGAGGTAATTCCAAACTGCCGTTCAGAGACTGCAGCAACATCTGCCCAGCCCCGCTGGGTAAACTGACCCCAACCCTGACATTGCCCATAACAACACCAGGTGCTGGGAGCCTCACCCCGTGGCAGTGCTAACCCACCACTCGGCTGCTCCCGGGGAACCACCAGTGTTGGCTGAGCACCGGCGTTACGGGAGCCGTGTCGATGCCTGGTCGTGAACTGCCGCTGTCTGTTTGCTCACTCTCTCCCTGACCCTGGCACAGGTCGATGCCCGAGGGTGCAGTCTGCTAAGGCGAGGAGGGAGCACCTAGCAGCCTGACATAAACACCCTGGGCTATGCCAGCCTGGTCTTGCACCGAAGAACAGCTTACCACCATAAGTGGTGGTAAGTTGTCTTAATTGCAGGTTAATAGAAGAGCTTACAGGCTATTCGTTCTGGTTCCTTAGCGCAACTTTTCCATCCCTCTCTTGTACTGCTGTCTAGCTTTTAATGCGTATCCAATTCATCAAGAGGGAAGTAGATTTTGCAATGGGGCATCTGGATTTTGGCTCTCTCCAAAGCAGTTTTGGGATCACTGCATCATGGAATTCCCCTTGCCAGTTCTCCAGGGCAGAGGGGAGGGAAGCAATTTCATTTCATGTTAGTTACATCCTAATGCTTTAAAAGATTTCTGGGTGTCCGAGCTGTCAAATTAATATTTCAAATCCCACAAGCATTATATACTTCATGTACATCACCACAATTACATGAAGAATTCCCATACTACCCAGAGGTCTTTTTTTAATGGTTGATTGCTCAAAAACGACATTGCATCAACACAGACATTGGCTAGAAAAAGCCAGAAAAATATTATAAAGCAATTTTCACACCTTTACAATTTAGTTTGAATTAAAATGACAAAAAGTTCTCACTGATATATCCCAGGCAACTTTAAAATCTATGAGGATCTGGGTTTGGGGGTTTTTGTCCTACCTTCATTAGTGATTTATCTTGCCTTCTAAGATCCACCAAGTGCAG